TTGAGTAAGGTCCGTAGTGTAATTATTTGTACTTTGCCAACTAATCACCTGGTTTTGATAATGTACTGTGGTTATATGTAACCATTGGGAAACTGGGCAGTGGGTGTGCAGGACCTCTTTATACTATTTTTGCAACTTCTTGTGAGTCTTTAATTGTTTCAAAATAAGGAGTTAGAGCCCTGGCCAGGTAGCTCAGTTAGTTGGAGTATTGTCCTTATACACCAAGGTTGCAGGTTCAATCCCTGGTCAAGGCACATATAAGAATCAACCCATGCCCTGCTCGGCATGGCTCAGCGGTTAAGCGTCGACCTAGGATCCAGGCAATCAGGGTTCGGTTCCCGGTCAGGGCACATGCCCGGGTTGCGGGCTAGGCAGCCAATCAATGACTCTCTCATCATTGATGTTTCTCTCTCTCTCTCTCTCCCTCTCCTTTCCTCTCTCTGAGATCAATGAAGATATATTTAAAAAAATACATATTTCATAAAGCATCAACCCATGAATGCATAAGTAAGTGGAACAACAAAACAACAAATTGATGTTTCTCTGTCTCTCTCCCTCTCCCTCTCTTTTCCCTTTCCCTCTTTCTCTAAGATCAGTCAATAAAAAAAATTTTTTTTAATGGAGTTAGAGTGAGAACAAGTAAGAACAAGATGGAAGGAGGAAGGGAGGGAGGGGGGGAAAGAGAAAGAAAAAAATCAAGGCTTCTAGGCAGGAAGTGGAGTAAAAAGGACTTATTTACCCTTCTACCTAAAACAGCAACAACACAATATTTTAAACAGACAAAATACGTGAAAAACAGTTTCCAAGACACTAGATATTAGGAAATGAAAGAAAGTGATCACAGAGATGGGAAACAACAAAATAAGCCACTGCTAACTGCCTTGGGAGTCTCCAGGCTGTGGTTAGTACAGAGGGAGAGGGATCTATTATGGAATCCCCCAATCTCCTGAGTTGAGGAGACCATATTGAGAGTCCACAGAAACCAAGACAGCTATAGTTCATAGGACAAAATACCAGAGGGAATAGAACCTGGTGCTCACACAGGTCCAGGAATACTACCTGTGCTACTTGCCAGACTGGAAAAAAATTATAACTCATGGAGCATTGGGTAGAGGACTTAGTAGTTGGAAACAGCCCTAGACTGAGCATCTGTCCACTGCCTAGTAAATTATAAAAGGAAGCTATGAAAGGCTTAAACTGTTTACAAGTAACTTAACTGCATCCCTGAACAAAGCTAAAGATTTACAGGAATACAAAAATATTCAACACCCAACAAAATAAAATTCACAATGTCTGGCATCCAATCAAAGATTATCAGACATGCAGAGACAAGTAAACATGTAGCACCATAATGAAGAGAATATCAATTGAAACCCACCCAGAACAGACACAGATATTAGCAGAGAAGGAAAATGAAAGTTATTATAACTGTGTTCTACATGTTGGAATAAAGATATGATATGGAAAATATAAAAAAGACCAAAATTGAATTTCTAGAAATAGAAATGAAAACTACAGTATCTGAAATGAAAAACCCAGTGGATGGGATTAGACATAGAAGATTTGAGGAAGAAAAAGTCCAAGAATATTTCTTGGGCAAAACTGATTGTATACTTGCTCAAAACCTAGAGTACAATTATCTTTGTTATTATTCAAAGTAATTGAGAGGAAATACAATGATAGTTACCATTAAAACTAGCTTAAAAATATTTTCTTGTCAGTAAAAGTTTTTGTCAAGATATCTTGGGTTTCACTTCTATAGGGGAGGACTGTAAACAATTAAAAAATGTTGACAACATTAAAGTATTGGTTATGGAACTGTGTGTGGTATTAGAGGTTTTGTTTGTGAAATACATGCATTAAAAATAATTAAATTTCAGAATAATTACTTTCATGTTGTTTCATAAGTATATGATTTATTTTCGTAGCCAGCTGGTAAGCTTTTGAGGGTATTAGCATGTCTTTTTACATCTTTTGACCCACCCTGAAATACATAGTGGTGCTTCCCATAGTGGGTGGTCAGTAGAGTTTATAATGTAAAAGAGAGAACCCACCAACTATGATGCACTGAAGTTTAATCTGGGGCTAATAAGGCAGCACCAGAATTATCCCTCTGAACCAAATGTAAATAAACAAAGCCTGTTATAGGGTTGGGGGCAGAGAGAAGCTCATCTCAGCCAAGAAGCGTTTCAAGGCTATTTTAAAACCAGAGAACTAAATTCTGCAAATTATTCCTAGAGCCCTATCTTTATCCACAGCTAGTGCTGATTAAATCAGGTGCATTTGGAGTTAATGACTAATACTTCTCAACTAGGTATTTGGGGAAATAAATAAATAAAAAGAACTTGGACCTGACCGGGTAGCTCAGTTGGTTGGAGCATCGTCCCAGTACACCAAGGTTGCAGGTTCTATCCCCTGGTCAGGCACATACAAAAATCAATCAGTGAATGCATAAATAAGTGGAACAACAAATTGACATTTTCTCTCTCCCTTCCTTTCTAAAATCAGTATATACATCTAAATACGTCTAATATATATATATATATTTTAAAACCTTAGGCTAAAAAATAAAAACTTGGAGATTTATATATTTGGGTAGATTTGGACAGGGTAGATTTAGAGTGTGAATGCTAGAGTTTAAAAATGTCCTGTGAAGAAACTTTTCTTCCTGTTTAATGGATGCAAAACTACCTGGGGATAGGGTGAGCATTTCCCATTTCTTGGTCAAATAAACATTGTCTGATTTTCATTGGCAAAGGGATTTAAATAAGGAACAAGATTCCTGCAACCCCAAGTTCCAATATGTGTTACAAGATTTTTTTAGGAAGGAATTTATAAACTTTACAAATTAGAGTCTCCACAGATTCAGGCCAAAGTATGAAGAGCTTTCAGTAAATTACTTTTTGGCAAGATAGAGAAAGCTATTTCAAGGAACCAAAATGGAATTTTGTAAACTATCTTATTTTTTTAGTATTGTCTCTAAGCTAAAATTGCTTATGTGTTCATTTTGTTGGTAGCAGCAGCACCATGCATGACCTCCACTGCTGCAGAAAGAAATAGGTAGATTGGCTTCTCTCTCTATAAGCAAGTGAGTGCATGATTGGGAAGGTGACAAATAACATATAAGGGAAAAATCTTAGATATTTGGGGAAACCTTACTATTTTTGATGCTTTACCTATTGATGCTAAATGGTGTAAAAATTATAAAGTTAGAGCAACCAGTGTTCAAGATTTTCAGTTCTTTCCTCTGTGCTTATATGAATCACTAGAAAAAGAATTTCAGTCTTATAGAAAGACTTCTGGGTACAGGGACCTTGAAATTCTGACCTACCAAATCAGTACAGGCATAAAAAGAACAGATTAAAATTGACAAAGCTAAACCCCTAAACGATGAGTAATTAGAAGAAAAAGAGAAGCTTCTAACACAGGAATTTACCAATTGGAATGAGATTTTAACCAGTTTAATGAGAAGTAGGGTCATAATGATATTGAAAATATAGCAAGAGCCCGGCTGGGCGTGGCTCAGTGGTTGAGCGTTGACCTAGGATCCAGGCAATCGGGGTTCGATTCCTGGTCAGGGCACATGCCCAGTTGCGGGCTTGATCAATGACTCTCATCATTGATCTCTCTCTGCCTCTCCTTTCCTCTCTCTGAAATCAATAGATATATTAAAAAAAAAAAAAAGGAAAGAAAGAAAATATAGCGAGAGAAGTAGAAGGAAATACTGTAGAGGAAGTCATTGAATACTCAGCTGTGTTCTAGGAAAGATTCAGTGAACTGTAAGACATAAATAAGATTATGGCTCAGATTAAATGGGAGATGCAAGAATTCAGAGAAGAATTTGTATCAAAGAAGCACTTGACACAAAGATTGAATGGTACAAAGCAGCTTTTCATCAGCTAGGAACATATGGTACTAACAAAGGAAAAAAACTAAAGAAAAGGATTGTGGGATTTGTGTGCTTGGACTCAACAAGGGACATCTATATGATGAATTGAGACAGTATATTCACAACTCTCCTCAGTTCAGCTTTGACTGGATTCTTAAGGACAGAATTGCAATGGAGTACCAGAGGTGGTTTAACAACCTATTACCTTGATTGAGAGAAAAAACAGAACTAGAAGAATTGAGATGGGAAATGAACCAGGTGAACTCTATGATTGCCACAGCCTATTACCTTGAGAGAATTTACAGGCTATAGGGCAGGGAGGGGTAAGAGGCAGAGCCCAACAGACTCTCCAGTGGAGGAGACTGAGCTGAGCATCTGGGGAGACCAGGGCTGCTGGAGTTGACAAGAGAGTTCCACAGAGGATGGAGCTGCCTGCACACGGTGCCCGTGAGCATTTAGCAAAGTACTAATCACCCTGTGTGTGAAGAAACTACCTAACACATGCTACAATGTGAATGAACTTCAGAATAATTATGCTGAGTGAAAGAGCCCAGATTTTGAAAAAAGTGTATATACTGTATGATTCCGTTTATTAAAATTTAAGAAAATGAAACTAATCCGTTATGACACAAAGTGGATTAGTGATTGCTGAGGGATGGGGATGGGGGGATCTGGAGGTAACAGAAGCACAGGAGGGAAAGCTTACAAAGGGGCACAAGGAAACTTGTAGGTATGATAGATATATATTTATTCTCTTGGTTGAAGAAATGGTTTCACAGATTTTTTACATATGCCAAAACTTATTACATTGCATACTTAAAAGTTCATTTCATCATTTGTGCTTAAATAAAGCTCTTTTTTAAACTTGCATAAAAAACAAAACAAATAAAAAACAGAGTGGTGTCCCTTTTAGAGGTGTTCTGAGAATATGAAAGGAGAGAACAAGCCCAGGTAACCTCTTGGTAACCCTTTCCCAACTCTATCTTGACTAAGATTTTTTGCTGTTCCAAAGCGTTTTCAGTTTTAGAGATGTATTGTTAGGAATTATGTAGTCAAATATTGCTATTGTCACTCAAGATATAACTTCATCTTCATGCATTTTGTGTTTCAGGGCTCATGAATCAAGGAAGCCAACATGAAAAATGGATTAAGGCTGATGCCCCAAAAGGCACTGTAAGTTTTAGAAGTCAAAGCTGGTTTCAGTCCTTGAAACTGCAGGACTAAGATTGGTTTGAGTTGTATTTATAATTTTAACAATAATTTGCCCAGCCGGGCGTGGCTCAGCGGTTGAGCGTCGACCTAGGATCCAGGCGATCGGGGTTCGATTCCCGGTCAGGGCACATGCCCGGGTTGTGGGTTGCAGCCGATCAGTGACTCTCTCATCATTGATGTTTCTATCTCTCCCTCTCCCTCTCCCTTCCTCTCTCTGAAATCAATAAAGATATATTTAAAAAAAAAAAAAATTAGTAATCCATGACTACAAAAATGCAAATACCACTGTTTGTATAAATATTGATAACAAATTGGATGAGCACTAGTAAATTGTCTTGTGAGAGTGGGGAGAGGTTCAAAGTTTTTACTTAGCTATTGTTATTAGTTTTCTTATTGCTGTATAACAAGTTACCACAAACTTAGTGACTTAAAATAGCACCCACTTGTCAGCTCAGAGTTCAGCAGGTCAGGAGCATGGCTAGATTCTCTGTTCAGGGTATTCACAAGGGTGAACTCAAGGTGTTGGCTGGGCTGAGTTCTCATTGGGCTGCTCCTGTTAAAAAAAAAAATCTTCCAAGCTCATTCATATTGTTGGCAAAATTTACTTCCTTATGACTGTTTAAGGTCTCTGTTTTCTTGCTGTCAGTAGGCATTCGCTCTAAGCTTCTAGAGGCCAACTGTATCCCTTCTCATGTGGCCCTCTTCATCTTCTAGCCAGCAATGATGCATTCAATCCTTCTAATACTTTGACTGTCTGACCTCTTCTGCAGCCAGCTGGAGAAAACTCTGCTATTTAAAGGGCTCATTTGATTAGGTCAGGCCTACCCAGGGTAATCTTTGTTTTGCCATAGAATATAACAATTATGGGAGTGATTGTCTCATCATATTCACAGTTTCCACTCACAGGAGAAGGAAATTATACAGAGACATAGGTAATAGGGGGAGGGGAGCAGGGAGTTATCTTAGAATTTTTTGTACCATGGTTCTCATGTAACCTGTTTTCTTAGTATTTATTATGACATCAATGTAAGTTTAAGCTGTGAATAAAACACATAATAAGTATGATGTAATTGCTACTGATTCTTCATTTTATTTGTATAATTTAAGACATAACTTGTTAGTGGGGGAGAAACATTCAGCTATTTTGCAGCCTGATGTATGAAGGTATATTTTCACTTTTATAATGGTGTATTGTGTAAAGTTATTTTATGAATTCTTTCAAACCTTACTTGTCTACTCCTACAACATTTAAATTATATAACACTGAAAGACTATCTATTGGTTTAGATTTTTTATCATTAGGATACATCAGTTCTTAAACATTGATTTCTAATATACCTTTACAAATAGTGTGATTTATAATAGTCTCTTTTTGTTAATATTTCAGTTATTTATAGTTGTCTGTTTTTAACTTACTTGTAAAAGAAAAAATCAGCTTTGTGGGATTTCTCAAAGTCTCCTTTTAGTTTACCCTTAATGAAATCAAAATTAGTATAAGTTTGGATGATACACATTAGGATGGTTGATGTGGTTGTGATGTGCATGCATGTGTGTTTGTGAAATATTAAGTAGAGGAAACTGAGGCATTGAGGCAACTTTTATAATCTTTTTTCACTCTTATGCAATTACATAAATATTTTCATGACTAAAAATAAAGTTTATGAAACTAGTCAACAATAGCCAGAAGGGTCATAAACATAACATCAGTCAGCTGTATTTAAAATTATTAAAGGAATTGTACATATTTGGGATCACATAATCAGGTCTAAACAGAAAGGAAAAGCTTCCATATTTTGTTCTCTTGAACACAGACTGATATATGTCAAATGCTTAAGAGCTGAGACCTAAGAAATATGTTGGATACCCTAAGATTTTGCTGCCTGTTCACTCTACTTTTTTTTTTTTTTTTTTTAGTAATATGTTTTTATTGATTTCAGAGAGAGGAAGGAAGAGGGAGAGNGCATAGTGGAGAGATTATAAAAGAAATATATTCTTTTCTTTTTTTTAAAATATATCTTTATTGATTTCAGAGAGAGGAAAGGACAGGGAGAGAGAGGTAGAAGCATCAATGATGAGAGAGTCGTGACTGATTGTCTGCCTCCTACATGCCCCATACTGGGGATTGAGCTGCAGTCCAGGCATGTGCCCTGACCAGGGATCAAAATGTGACCTCCTGGTTCATAGGGTGGCGCTCAACCACTGAGCTGTGCTGCAGGGCTCACTCTACTTCTTGATCCTCTCTTCATAACCTACTTTTTCTAACACCTTTTCTTTCATTTCAACAGCTATAAAATTTATCTCCCCATGAAAAACAAATATGTCTCCTGTGGAGAGGGAGGGAGAAGGAGAAACAGATATGAAAGCTGAACATCAATTGGCTGCCTCCCGTACTCCCCCTACTAGGATGGAGCCCACAACCGAGCTTATGTCCTGACCTGCAATTGAACCAGCAACCTTTTGGTGCATGGAAGATGCCCAACCAACTGAGCCACATCGGCCAGGGCTCTCCTGTTCTTATTTAAAAGAGGATCTTAAAGAGTTTTGAAGCAAGATTTGACCGTTAAACACCCTGCTTGATTACTAGAGAACATAACAGGGAGTGTCAATCCTTACCCTGGTCCCTGGTCTTCCCCATGCAGTTGTTATTGCTGTAGAAAACAGTTGCCCCTTGTATAGGTCTCTCCAGTTGTGTGCTTGAGACACTTAGGGGTCGGACACTTAGTCGTCAGTAACCAACTTAAATTTTTTTTAATTGACAGAGAGAGAGAGAGAGAGATGGGGGGGAGGGGACACGACACACTGATTTGTTGTTCCATTTATTTATGCATTCATTGGTTGATTCTTGTATGTGCCCTTACCAGGGATCAAACCCACAATCTTGCTGTATCGGGATGATGCTCTAACCAGCTGAGCTACTCGGCCAGGGAAGACTACTTTTATGTAGCTGCCAGAAATCTCCAAATTTAGTTTAAAAATCACCCTCTTAGAACAATCATCTTAAATCTTTTGACTCAGGTCTTAAAACTTCCTACTTAGCTGATTCCCTTGCTTTCCACTTTTGGGAACAATTTCTATAGCTAAGTGATACTACCTTATTTCAAAAACTCTTTCAAAATCAAACAAAGATAGGGTAAAATTATTTAAAGTATTTAGCTAATACAGAGTACCCTATAATAATACCTGTAGAGCCCTTTAAAAACTTTTCAAAATAACTTTCACATTCTTTATCAAAAATTTTATCTTTCAAATTTGTGGGATACAAAAAGATAGTGATTAACTCCATTTAAGAAATAAGTAACAGAAAATAGAAGGATTAAAAAACGGATCTAATATTACTGACACAGCTTCTTTGTGGCAATCACAACAGTTGTGCTATCCCCTGGACTCTATGAACATCAGTCTACATGATACTAAATAATGTTACAAATAACCCATATCTCTTAGCATAAAATTGAGAAAGCATCTTTTTTGGGATAGCATAGTTTAAAAATCCCCCTATTGCCCAGCCAGTCACGGCTCAGCAGTTGAGCATCGACCTAGGATCCAGGAGATCGGGGTTCTATTCCCAGTCAGTGCTCATGTCCAGATGTGGGCTCAATCCCCAGTCGGGGGTGTGCAGGAGGCAGCTGATCAATGACTCATCATTGATGTTTCTATTTCTCTCTCTCTTCCCCTTCCTCTCTCTGAAATCAATAAAGATATATTTTAGAAAATAAAAATCCCCCTATCATGCAAATCTGATTAAAAAGAGATTTATCTAAGACATTGCAGGGACATTATTCACAGATCGTTCCTGTTTCTATTTAATTTGCCCCTAATAGTTAAGTCAGATGTTGAGATGAGTCCAGGGTTAATTGGCATTTAGTTCTGTCTTCTTGTTAACTATCTGGAAATCACAAGAAAGCCATGTTTCCTTTTAAAATGTATGATTATGTCCTTTATAGTAAAGCTCCACAGATCCTAAATTTTCCCTGGCTCAAACTCTTACTCTGACTTACAAGGCCATTTCTGCTTTCTTTTCTAAAGAGAAGCTTCTAAATTCCTTGACAAAAAACATCACATCTCTCAGATTTGTTTCATATAACTGTAACCTCAGATTTGATAATCTCATACTATTGGCTTGATAAATTTACATGGAAAATTTATATAGTAGTACTTGATTTGGCTTTTTAAAAATCATGATTATAGACAGGAGAATTAATGATGTATTTAGAAATGATGTATTTGTAGTTGGAATAAGAATCAGGAGATAATTTGCTGCTGTTTACACTGTTGAGATCCAGCTAATAAAAATACTTGCATCAAATGAAGTTGCCAAATTCTAGATGTTTTTGTTCTTCCTGCTTGAGTTGAAGGCCATACTACTTCCTCTTCACTATTGTATGTTGACTCTTTCACTGTCAATTCTGTGTCTTTAAGTGGTGGTATGTCCTGTTGCTCTCTGTTAGAGACTTGCCTTCTCCATCATAGGTGGAGGTTCATTAGGGCTGTATTCCTGCTGCTGAACTATAGATGACATTTTCTTAGCTGCCTCCCTGTAATAACAGTGATTAGCATTAGCTAGTTGCAGAAATAATCACTAGTGCAAAATTTTCAAACTAGATCAAATTTGGAGTTGAAGAACTCACCATTAGGAGTTGAGTTCACTTTTCATAGTTTTCTTGCCTTCCTGAGGGGGAGGGTTTGGGTAATAGGGCTAATAATCAGGGTCCCACAGCTTAAGTAGCTCAGTAGCTCTCCAATTCAAAGATTAACAGGCACAATGAATGGTAAGGAAATAGCATGGCCATGGAGTGGGAATATTGAGGCAACTCTATAGTGCTCTTGAGTAAGCCCTCTGCCTGCTATTTCCAGAGTTTTAAATGAGGGAGTACCTTTCCCAGCCAACCTGTGAAGGATAACTGTGCACCTGAGCAGGAGCTCTTAACACAAGGTCTGTAGATCCCTGTTGGATACATGGATGAATTTCTGGGGGGTCCATGAACTCCTCGAAAAGTCATGCAGTTTTGTATCTTAATATACTTTTTTTCTGAGGAGAGGGTTTGTGACTTTCCTCAAATTCTCAAAGACGTCTATGACCAAAATGATTAAAAATACTACTACTGTCTTTCTTAGGAGGAAGAAAGGAAGGAAGCAAAGAGGGCATGTAAAATTGTTCTGGACCCCAATTCCAACATGGGGTGATGTGTGTTGTTGGGGGATTCCTCCATACCACCAAGCAATTCTCGGATACCAAGCTGGGTGTCCTACAATTGAATTCATTTCTAACACTGTCTAACCCAGCGATAGCATCAGATTCCACATGTTAAGGGCTCACTTCAACAAGACCGCCCTTCACTTCAGACACCAATATCAAATCCAGGTTGTCATCTGGGTTTCTGACTCACCTGCTGTATCGATCAGAGGTTCCAACAACCCCCTCCTTGAGTTCGATTAATTTGCCAGAGCTGCTCACAGAACTCAGAGAGAAACTTACTTACAAGATCACCAGCTTATTATAAAGGATATAACTCAGGAACAGCCAGATGTAAGAGATGCATAGGGCAAGGTAAGGGGAAAAGGCGCAGAGCCTCCATGCCCTCTTCACTCAAAGCCCTCTCCCCAAATCTCCATGCATTCAGCAACCCAGAAGCTGTCTGAGCCCTGTCCTTTTGGGTTTTTCATGGAGATTTCATGACGTAGCCATGATTGATTAAATCAATGATCAAAGGTGATTGATTCAGCCTCCAGGCCCTCTCACCTCCCTGGAAATCAGTCCCATACCCTCTCTTTATGGTTGGTTCCCCAGGCAACCAGCCCCAATACTAGGTACTTTCCAAAAGTCACCTTATTAACATAAACCCAGTTGTGGTGGAAACAGGCTTGTTTTGAATAACAAGACACCCATTTCACCTTTATGGCTCTGAAATAATTTCAGGAACTGAGAACCAGAGACCAAATATGATAAGAGATGTTCCCTTTGCTCTTATCACTCAGGAAATTCCAAGTGTTTTGGGAGCTGTGAGCTAGGAACCTTGGAGGAAGACTAAATATATATGAGAATTATAGTTTGGTCATCTGACTAATATAGCATCAGAAAAAAAGTGTGTATCTAACTTGAAAACAGTGCCTATTTGAGGATAGAAGTATTTTCCTAGGAAGGTGGTTTGAATCTTGAGAATAGTACTAAAAAGGAAATGAGTACTTAACAACTTTTGTAGGATTAGAAATGAGTAATGTGCCTGGCCAGTGCTGCACAGTGGTTGAACGTCAACCTATGAACCAAGAGGTCACGATTCAATTTGCAGACTGGGTACATGCCTGGGTTGCAGGCTCGATCCCCAGTAGGGGACTTACAGGAGGCCACCAATCTATGATTATCTCTCATCATTGATGTTTCTCTCTCTCTCCTTCTTGCTTCCTCTCTCTGAAATCAGTAAAAACATTTTTTTTTTTTTTTTAAAGAAGGAGGAGGATTATAGTTTTAAAACCCAGACCTTAATGAAAAATGGATTAATAAAAATTTTTTAAAAAAGAAATGAGTAATGTTTGCCTATGAAGGAGCTACTTTGCCCACTATTGCCATATATTACATTGAGTTATTAATTGCAGAAGTCTGGAAACTGAGTCATTGATATGGAAGCTGTATTACCATATACTTGTAGTTAAATTTGTGCTCAATGGCTATGTGAATTCAAGTAGGGCAGTGAAATTGGAAAAGGCTAAGATACATCAGTTGTTTAAAATGCTATTTCACCCTAGCCGGTTTTGCTCAGTGGTTAGAGCATCAGCCTGTGGACTGAGGGGTCCCAGGTTCGATTCCAGCCAAGGGCACGTACCTCTGTTGCAGGCTTGATCCGGGTACGAGAGAGGCAACCAATTGATGTGTCTCTCACATTGATGTCTTTTTCTTTCTCTCCCCTTTCCACTCTCTCTGAAAGCAATGGAAAAAATATCCTCAGGTGAGGATTAAAAAAAAAAAAAGCTATTTCACTTGAATCAAATCTTAGAAGTATTAAAATAATTGTAACCAGATTCAACAGGGAGAAAACCAAAGCATTGCTAATTCTGTCTCCTACCACATTGCTTTTTGGCTTATATATTTTCACTCACACAAAACTTACACAAGTTTAAAGAACAATTTGAGTGAAAGAAATTGTTATACTAATTTAAGTATAGTTCTATATTTTAAACTTCTTATATAATCTTTATATGTCCTCTAAATAGGATTTTTTTCCCCCAAGATCTAATTGGCTTTATTAACTGATTCATGAATGGGGGCAGTATCCCTTCTAGCAACTAGAAGGTTGCTCTCAGTAGGATATTTTTATTTAAAAATAATAGTGTTATATCTTTAACTTTCCCATTTTCTTCTCCTGAACATATTTCTCCCTTTTCAGTTCTAAGGAGTTGAGATTGCCATGTTTTTAAAGGTGTTTTTTATGAGATTGTTTTTCACTCAAGCACCTACCACAACATAATACCAAATGTTGAGGGAATCTGAAGTATAAAACTTTGGTACCTTCAGTTTCAAACAGGTAAAACTGTCCTGGGGCAACAGAGCTCCATTGTTATTTACCCTTCATCTCATCTCTGTCTAAACTTTATCCATCTTTCAAAACTCCAAACCAGTCCAGCCTCTTGTAAAGACCCAAACCCTATCCCTTCCTCTTCTGAACCTCTATAGGAAGTTGATCAAGAGTTAATTTCTTTCCAGTACATAACTTCATGACATTAATTATTTATAATTTTAAATGGTTATTTTCCTTTTGTTTAAGAAGGCAGTAAGTTATTTAAGGGTATATTATATTTCTTTGTATCACCTTGAAACCTAGCAGGAACAGCCAAAACAAGAGACTTCAGCAGTTTATACCAAGGGAAGTCCTTTAGCTCTCCTGTCTTCTTTTGGTTTGTTGGCTTTGAAGGGGTATTCCTAGATTCCTACTTCCAACACCCTCCTGACCCCTTCCTCCCAAAGAGCAGAGCTCTGGACACAACTGTAGTTCGCCATTGTTGGTAATGATTCAGTGCCACTGATGATAACACTACTGCAGTTAAAGGCGACAACAGTCTTGACCTATAGGAAAAGGACATGTTTGTTTAGGGAATAAAAGATTTGTAAGTAGTTGACCAAATTATATGTAACTTTTGGCCTCATAAGAGCAGTAGTTTTTGAGAATTCTAGGTAAATGGTAAGAGGTTAAGTACTCAATGTTAAGTGTGAGAGCATATAAATATTGAGTCATACAGTTTCTCAGTCAACTATAAGCCAGGGTAAATTAGGTGGTAATTGTCAGGTAAAAACAATTTGCAAATAATTGGAGTTTGAGAAAACAAGAAAAGAAAATTGGGGATTTCGACTCCTCAGTATAGACAAAAAAATAGGGAATGAATGGGAAGACTACTTTTTAAACGCAATATGATGGGACAGAATCAAAATGAACTACATATTGAAGTCCCCAGTGGGATACACATGTCTTAAATGTGTTTATTTCTTAGCTCCGGTCCTCCTTTACCTAAGCACTGCTCTCCATTCTACCCACAGTCAGCTTCAGTGAAATTAAACATCAGAGGGCCGACTGCCTTACCATTGAAGGTCATTCTTACAGACTGGAGAGGAGCAAAGGATCATGTCGTAGACCCCTCTTCCCTCAGTCTCAAATACCAGGAGGTTAAGGCTTCCTCCAGTGTAGAGTGTCTCTAAGGGCCTGTCTTAGTCCTACATGATTTCACAGCAAGGGTGGTCCTGGGGGAAAACCCGACAATCTGAATCTGTCCTGTGGCAAATCTGGGAATTTTTTAGAATTTGTGTGCTAGTGTAGATTATTCCCTAGCCTACTTCCTCTCCACTCTTCAGAAAATCCTTAGCCCGTGAACTGCCTGTTCTCACCACCTTATTAGGACCTTTGACATCCTTACATGGACTGACTCCTAAGACCTGACCAAAAGGGAAGACCAGCATAGTGACTGCAGGCAAATTTCTCTGTGTTCCATCCTGTGTAGCTGTATGTTTGCACACATGCACTTTTGAAAAGTATCAGGAGCCCTGCCGGGCATGGCTCAGCAGTTGAGCATCCACCTAGGATCCAGGAGATCAAGGTTCAATTCCCGGTCAGGGCACATGTCTGGGTTGCGGGCTAGACAGCCGATCAATGACTCTCCCATCACTGATGTTTCTGTCTCTCTCCCCCTCCTTTCCTCTCTCTGAAATCAATAAAGATATACTTTAAAAAAAAAAAGTGTCAGGAAACTTAAAAATGTAGAAACTGCCCTGCCGGGCATGGCTCAGCTGTTGAGCGTCGACCTAGGATTCAGGCGATCAGGGTTCAATTCCCAGTCAGGGCACATGCCCAGGTTGTGGGCTCAATGACTCTCTCATCATTGATGTTTCTATCTCTCTGTCTCCCTCTCCTTTCCTCTCTATGAAATCAATAAAAATATATTTAAAAAAAAAAATGTAGAAACTGAATGCTCCTGCCAGAAACAGCTCTCTCTCCCTTCCTCTCTCCCTCTCTCCCTCCCCCTCTTGCCTCCTCTTGGTGCTTTAGTATGGTCA